TGTTTTTTTTTGTTTTTTTTTTAAAGATTTATGTATTTATGCATACAGAACTGGGGTACAGGCCAGAGGCTCAGGGGCGGCAAGAGGCTTCACCAGAGACAGAGTGGGGAGCAGAACAGGCAGATCAATGAAGTACACTGCTGAGGGGAGCAGCGGGTGGGCCAGGAGAGGTCTGCCACGCCACGTGGTCACCTCCGGGGCAGGCGGGGATCGAACTCATGTGGAAGTGGCCTTAGCTTCTCAGTGCTGTGCTTTAACCCACTGGGCCACCAGGGATGGCCGGTAGGCCGTGTTTTAACAATAGGTTTGTAAGTAGACTTTTTAATACATAAGGCAGCTAGTTACTATTCTTAGATAACTGGCCTTCCGAAAAGCAAATTTCCAATTTTTTGCATCTTGCATGTTTATTTTGATAGAGAACATAAGCAGAATTTTGGGGGAATAAATTTAAATATAAAATAAAGGTAAATCCTTAATGTTATTACCTATCACCTACAGTGCTGCGTGCTGTTACTTAGTGCACAGCCAGATACCCGATCTCTGTTTTCCTTAATATCATGCCATTTCACAAACACATACTGCAGTTTGCCTCTTACTCATCTCATGAAACAGAAAACACCGGAACTCATGAGTTAGCTTCAGAAAATGCAAAGGAGCCTTTAAAAGGTTCATGTGTTAATTATTAGGATAAACTAAGGAAGTGTTGGGGGCTGTTGGCCATGCTTACTTTTTTAGTAAAGCCAGTTTGTATGGTATGTTAAGAAGTTTCTTAGCACACAAATATGAGAAACTACTTTCAAGGCCCCTACTCTTGATTTCTACCTCCAAGTTTGTGGTAAAACAGAATATGTGTTTATATCTTGTATATTTGCAAAGGTTTAGTAAAAGGAATAACTGTTTTCAGTCCATTTTAATTTAGGTGGCACCCTTGTTTAAAAAGTCTGTTTTCTGAATTTTTAAGAATTCTTTGTCTCTTCCCTGTCAGCAAAAATGTTCATGTACATGCTGCCACCTACGTTGAAGTTTATTGGAGGACCCCTCTGCCTTAACTTGCAAAAGGTACTAATTCCCTTTTCTTGTGACCCTAGGTAAATGAGGAAGAAAGGCGAGCAGAGCAGAGGAAGTATGGTGTGTTCTTTGATGATGATTATGACTACCTGCAGCACCTGAGAGAACCATCTGGGCCTTCAGAGCTTATCCCAAGTACCTCCAGTGCATCCAGCAAGAGAGATGAAAAAGAAGAAACTTTAATAATTCCAGTAAGACTTCTTAGCTACTTAATTGTGTGGGAAAGTATATAAGAGTGAGTTAAGAAACCACCATTTTTAAGTCAACATAACTGGTTAGGGTATGAAGTGGTATCAGTTTGAAGAGCACAGAGATAGGCTATGCCCGCACTTAAAATTGTGTCTGTGTGGAAGTGCTCACTTGTACCATTGGGAGAGAGTAAGTCATTCTGTTCACTGGAGGCAGATGTTCAGAAAACAGCTTTTGACAGGATTATAGTTCTTGATTAAAGGATATGATCAAAGTAGAGGGAACTTTTCACTTAATGAAAAGCAGCTAACATTCTAGGTGTTAACTAGATTGTTGAAGCAAATCCACACTATCCTAAAATAGAATTTAAGTGGAAGGTTCAGCTCTTTAAGTGGTGAAAATAACAGGCTAACCATAGGAGAGATTAAAAGCTACAGATTGAAATGAAATTCCTGTTAATACATAGAACAGAAGTGCTGTCTATTTTAGTACTTTTTTTTGATATTTTAAATTTATTTTTAATACTTTACTCTTTAAGTACAAGTGAGTATATGTTTATAGGAAATCAGTGCAACTAAGTGAAGTGCTGGGTTTTTTGCCCTATTTATGTTAAGGTCACCCATGCAGTACGCTGCTGTGATCTTATTTTTTTGTTTAGTCCTAGCATAAGGGTACTTCTCTGTGACACTTTTATGTAACCTGACAAAAAATAGAAGACATTCATTTGTTGGGTTTATTGACACATGGACAGAGTACAAAAAAAAAAAAGACAATATGCTTTCATTTTCCAATCCGATAATTGTGGCCTAGATATTCTTTTCTTTAGGGAGGGTGTGATTAAGGTTTCTCTGTCCATAGTTTATTGCTTAAGAATAGTTCAAAGGATTAGGTATCAGGGCACTCTGCAAAGAAATGGATAACTGCAGTAGTTCCATTCATTCCCTAGGCTGTAGATGTCTTGCAAAGTCACACAGTCTCTGCCATGGTAGTGCCAGCCTCTACTCTTTCTTCCTTGGAGCTCCGTATCAGTGGTGGGGGACTCGGCTGCCTTCATTGTGGGCAGGGAGGGGGACCAGTAGTGGCTCAACTTCTTTATTTTATGCAGAAGAGTTTTAATAAAGTCTTAATATTCTTCTGGCAGAATTGTATTTATTGGTACATGATGCTTGTACCCCTTAATTTTGGGTGAAAGTGGTTTCTGTTTAGTTGACTTAATAGAGTAGGGCTCTTAAATACACACTCTAGCAGTGTTCACAAGGATGAGGACAGAATTATGTTTAAAGACAGCAATCAATGCCTTCAGTTTTTTGTTGCACAACATGAAAAATGGGTGAGTCCCATGTGCTCTTTTGACCTGAAAGCAATTTGTAACAAACACCAAAATTGAGTAAACCAAACTATTGAATAAGATATAAAAATGGAAAGTCAGACAGTGCAGAAATTAGGCATGTTTGAATAAGCCTCGATTTTCCCACGCAGAAAAGCAGGTGTTGCCATGGTCAGGGCAGCTGTGCAAACTCATAATTCAGAGCTGTTGCAACCCTGAAACAACTCACTCCTCTTAAGAAAATGGTGCTCACAGTCTAAACTGATTGTGTATGTAATTCTTTATTTTTCTACATCTGAAAAAATATTTCCAAAGTTAAATTCACTTAACACAAGCTAATCCTTTTTTCAAACCTCCTCTTCCAAGGATAATCTCAGTATCTTTAAAAAAACCAACACCACCTATATATTTTACATAATTAAAAGTCTTTAATACATCAGAAATCTTTAATTTGTGCACTTTACATGGGTGAATATAGCTCAGTAAAACTTGAAGATAAGAGTGCACGTGATAATTAAATCTTTGCCTATTTATGCCACTGACAAACTCATTTTGGAAACTGAGTGTGATTCCCAGCTTAGGGCCTACTACTAGACTGAGGACAGGGTGGGTGACGAGGTGCATGGAGACAACTTACGGTGACCCTCTGAATATTCACTCTTCAATTAACAAGATGAACTTAAAGCACCAGGACCAGAAGATACATGGCAGCCCACAGGGAAGCGACTTGTAGGGTGTGAAGAATGAGGACAGTTCATACAAGGAAATATTCCGGGACAGTATATGTAGCTTCTCGTGGAAGAGGGAGGGAACTGAGCTGGCCTTTAAAGGGTGGGTTCTATGATAGGAAGGAACATGCCAGTCAGAAAAAGGGACCCAAGCTAGTGTTGTGTAGCACAGTACCTGGCACGTGTATGCCTCATAAACTACTTCTACAGGGCCTTGAATATCGAGCGTGAAAAGTCAAAGCCTGGTACAAATTCAGGAAGGTCACATTATAAAATATTCAAGGGGCTTAAATGGCAGTGGTAGGAAGCTTGAATTGGGCATATATCAGTTAAGCAGTGATTGCAGTAAACCGTGTCACAGTTGACCATGAATGAGACAGTGTCTGAAAGTTTGGTGTGAAATTGCTGTGAGACAAGTCAAAGGGATCCAAAGACGGAGAGCAGTGCTTCCTGACCACTTGGGTTATGGCAGCTACTTAGAGAAAACCTATACCATTACTAGATTGGGACTTTGTTTCTGGTTTAAGTTGGGAAATCTCATTTTATTTAGAAATTGGGAATGGAATTCTGAGGGGTGGATTTGAATCCCTGAACTTAACTACTAGTGTTAGGCAGACATTCCATTTTAATCTTTCACTAAAGCAGGCAGTACCTCATGAGGATTAAATGGAATAATATTCTGAGAACGCTTTGTGAAGTATTGCAAGTACTGAGATGGTGATGGAATATTCATGTTTAAAACATCTCAGCTGGAGCACGCAAATGCAAATGCAGGAAGATAGTTGTGGTCGTTTCCCAGGACTGCCTTGACAAAGTAACACAAATTTCCACTGGGTTCCTTACAAGCAACTGAGATTTATTTTGCAATTTTAAGGATTTGAATTTTGAAATCATGGTTTTGGCAGAGTTGGTTCCTTCTTGGGAGCTTGGCGGAAATCTGTTCCATGCCTGTGTCTTACCTGCTGTGTTTGATTATCCTTGGGGTTGCATTGCTCTCATCTTCCTCGCCTTCACATGGCATTCTCTGGTGTCTTTGTATTTCCACATGGCTTTCTTACAAGGGTATATTGATTTTGGGTTTAGGGCCCATCATAATACAACATTGCCTCATCTTACCTGGTGATATCTGCAGGTCATAGCTCTAGTCGTATTCTGAGCTTATGGGTGGACATGAATTTCGGGGAGTGGGAATACTTTTTAACCTGTGTAGTGGTGTAGAAGTATTTCTAAATAAACCTAATCATGTAATTTGTTTTTCAAGAGTACTGGGATTAAGTTGCCTTCATCAGTGTTTGCATCAGAGTTTGAGGAAGATGTTGGATTATTAAATAAAGCAGCTCCTGTCTCAGGTGTGTGTAATTTTCTGTGACTATTCAGGTGGATAGAACTGTTTTACATAAAAAGAACCAGTAATGATAGTATTTCTGTCTGTAATAAATTACTGAAACAATTGAGATTTGTCTAAATTCTTATTACAGTTCATTAGGAAGACATGAGTATGATTAGCATCCTTCATTCTCCATCAAATTCTAGGCTTTTGGCACTCAAACTTTTGTCATCTATTCCAAATACACTTAAAATACACTTAAAAATTGTTGTAATTTTTTCTTTGCAGTGCCAACATTTTATGTTAAAATAAGCACCAGAAATCCACAGAAATGGTGTTTGGCATTTTCATCTAAATCCCCATAATTATTGGCTAACATGAGCCATGTTGCATTCATTCATAAATTTACTCTACAGATTTTTGAGTTGCCACTATGTGACAGAATCTTGGGGTAAGCCAGAATAAAGTGCACTGCCTGACCTGAAGGATTTACCTTCAGAAAGATAGTCAAGGGGAAATTATAGTCACAGTGCAAGTGAACAGGCAGTGTTGGGCACCAAACCTTATGTTGGGGAGTTGGACAAGGCACCTTGAGAAGTGAGAACTGTAGGTTGACTTTTCCACAGAAGGTAGGTGGGTGGATGGAGGAGGAGGAGGAGGTGAGGAGGAGGTGATTTTCCAGACGGGAAACAATGAGGTAACGTCAGAAACACTCGGAGACTGCACACTCAGCAAGAATGAAAGGCAAGGTGCAATAAGGGTGAATATGAAAGCTTTTCTTAGAATTTGTACTTTTACATATTGAAGACCAAAGATGAAAGAATAGGTCAGGAATTATTAAAATTTTGTAGTCTGAAAATAAGAGGTTAATCAGATGATTTATTTCAGTTCTAAACAGTTGAATTAGAAGCCCAGTTTCTTCTGCATGTGAAGGCTTTCCATTTGGCTAAATAGACAAGTTGATATTGTCTATCTCTAGTGGCAGAGTTATTACCAATGATTATTGAAGAGAGGAGCATTTTTTTTACATATTTTTAAATTTCTTAATCATTTATCTTCACTATGTAGGTAGAATCTGGTATATAACAGATACTCAGATTATGTCAGTTAAGTGAAGTAATCATGTTTTCTTGGGAATTGTTCAATTTTTGTTTTCCTTCTAGGACCTCGATTGGATTTTGATCCTGACATTGTTGCAGCTCTTGATGATGATTTTGACTTTGACAATCCAGATAATCTGCTTGAAGATGATTTTATTCTTCAGGCCAATAAGCCAGCAGAAGAGGAAGAGGAAATGGAGATACAGTATGTGTGGTTTATTTAGAGCTGGGATGACTTGGCTGTTGCTTCTTCAGTAGGGTGGTAAACACTGGATGTTCTCTGAAGAGATCTTCAAGATCATTTATTCTGAGACTTCTGTATTTAAGAGCAGAAAATGTGAGACTTGAGGTCTGTAGAACTATCGATAGATGGGGCTAAAGTCCAGGTGGCCTGATTGCTAGTTAATTACCTTTCTAATCACACCAGATGTGTCAGGCAACACAGCTGTTCCTGCCTAAGCAAGAATCCTCCCCGAAGTACCCTCAGATTTTATAGTGTAAAGTCGCCTAGTTCTGTTGTTTTTTTTAAGTTGTTTTGACAGTTAATTTGACTCTGACTTTAGGAAATCTGAAGCTGAAGATGGCAACGAGTGGGAAGACGTGGATGATGAGAATGAGGGCGATAGTGATGATGACTCTGCAGGCTCGTTATCAGATGATAGATCGGCCCCGGGAAAGTGTCTTGGGGTTACAGAAAATCACTTGTTCTGGGAAGAGGAGACTAAAAGTCGCTTTACTGAGTATTCTATGACCTCCTCAGTCATGAGGAGAAATGAACAATTAACCCTACATGATGAGAGATTTGAGAAGGTAAATTTCCTGAATGAGGGATGTTTTAATACTAATGCCTATTTAAGTTTATATGACATCAGAACCAAAACAAACTTTCAGCATTAGAAACAGCTATTGTCTTATATAAAATAGACTAAAACCTCTCTGCCTCTAATTCTGGAAAGAATCTGTGTAGGTCAAAAGATGACTGATCAAACTTGACTTCCTCCTAGAATTCAGACATTTTGAATCTAAGCTTCTGTGATCATAGTCCCCAAGATTGCTATTTTCTTGCACATAAATGAAATCTTTGAGGATTTTTTTGGGTATATTTTGCTTACCAGTACATCCCACGGCCTAAAGGGATAAGTGGTAGGAATTTGAACTGTTGAACAAATACTGAAGGAAAGGATGGATGGTTTCCTTCAAAGTGAAACATAAAGGCTCCAACTTTAATGCCCTTTTGCTGAATCTTGTATCTCCTCTCTCCAAGAGATAGTCAAACTGTTACTATTAAATCTCACTGTTGAGAAATTCTGTCATCTGGGTCTTACTTTTATGAAGCCAAACAGTATTAATAGCTTTTGAATAACAGTAAACATCATCTAAAAGAAATGAAATGTGTGCATTTACTAGAGGCTATTTAGTTGCATGACCTTTTAGTTTACTTAATTGCTGTATTTGAAAGTATACCTAAAACACTTTAGGAATTACACTTCATTTTCATATTAGTATCAACCTTTTTTACAATGTTTAATGTTAAGTCTTAAATTGCTGGATATAGACTATCTCCCATGTCATACTGCTGTGTACCAAGTGCATGCTAAAATGTTAATTTAGTTTTGATCTCATAAGTAAGTGTTGTGTAAGAATAAAATTAATGTAAAAATGACATCTAAATGCTCTATTCCCAATCTTTTCATTTTCATGCTATATTTTCTTTGTAAATTCAAGTTTTATGAGCAATATGATGACGATGAAATTGGAGCTCTGGATAATGCTGAATTGGAAGGTTCCATTCAAGTAGACAGCAATCGCTTAGAAGAAGTTTTGAATGACTACTATAAAGAGAAGAACGAGAAGTATGGTGACTTTTTCCTGCTTACCTCATTCTTTTATTCTTAAATAAGGTCTGTGATGTTAGCTGAATCTAGCAGATCACCTTATCAGAATTCTTTTGAGAAAAGTAGTACATTGTCTGTAATCATGTTTTGCTGCTAAGACTTCTGAAGCTGAATATGATGCTGGTTGGGAACGCACTGAGAACTGCTTTGTGTGTAGTTTTCACTTGCGAGTCCTAGGGAATAACAGGTTTGGGTGGGCTGTTGGAACTCATATTCCACCTGAGAATAAGGTTCCTTCTGGCCTCTTTGGCTGAAGAACTATTCTAACTCCTGAGTATATATAGCCTTCATCCTCCTGAATTGTCAGCAGCGCCAGATATAGGTATCTGTGCATATAGAAAGGTGGGAGCTTATCTTTAGTCAGATTAACATCAGCTGGTCAAATTAGTTGGCGAATCAGCTTCATGTCAAGGTGTACTCTTTGCTGGCACCTGACATTGCATCCTCACTGTAGTGCGATACTACTGTAGGACAGGGCTACATACTTTGAATTATCTGAATACCCCGGAAAGAGACGGTTCATGTTTTTGGAGACTTAAAAAAACACCCTGTGTGGGAAAACTGCTATCTTGTTTAATGAGTTATAACCTAGTAAACATGCAGATGCAGCTTTCCTTCCTGTCAGAAGAGTGACTGTCCAAAATCTGCTGGAGGGGAGGCGGGCTGGGTGGAGCTGATCTTCATAGGAAATGTCAGATGGAACACGTAAATTTGTAAATATTTTAAATTGCTCTTGTTTCCGTCGAAGAATAATGGGCATTTATTTCTTCTCCGCACCCCCCACCCCCAATCTTCATTTTCAAAACTCAATAAACAGTTGTGTGAAGTTAAATACTCTTGAGCCCTTTGAGGATCAGGAGCCACCAATGAATGAACTTGATGGGTCTGAGGAGGAAGAGATTGTTACTGTAGTTCTTGAAGAGTCCAAAGAGAAGTGGGACTGTGAGTCCATTTGTAGTAAGTATCTCAGTGTCCATTTTACTGCTGGAATTATGATAGAAATTTAGAAATATTAAGTACATGTTAACTTTTTGAAAAATAAATATTCTGTGAAAATATTTTAGAAAAAGTAATATTCCTGTTACGGCATTGTAGTCAGCTTTAAAGCCTTACAAGAGAGACTTGAGTGTTATTTTGAATTGTAAAACATCAGTGTTGGAATGTAGTAGGAACTCAGTAACGTTTTGCTGAACTCAAAGTGTATTAATACATAATTTTTTTTTTTTAGGTACATACTCAAACTTATATAACCATCCACAACTCATCAAATATCAACCAAAAGTAAGTGTTAGTGCATTTTATGAAATAAATGAAAGAATATAGTATACAGATTTTCTCCTCATAACTGTATCCTTTTGTGACTAACAATACCATCAGGAAAAGCAACTGCAATAGGTTTCTATTTAGCTTTTTTTTTTTGTAGGAATGAATAACGCTAGTGCCATCTTATCTTTATTTCAGCCCAAACAAATCCAGTTATCTTCTAAAACAGGAATACCTCTTAATGTCTTACCTAAGAAAGGACTGACAGCAAAGCAAGTGGAACGGATGCAGATGATCAATGACAGTGATCTGCCTAAGGTATCTACCCAACCACGTCCTAAAAATGAAAGCAAAGAAGATAAAAGAGCAAGGAAGCAAGCTATAAAGGAAGAGCGCAAGGTAAGTGCTTTCCTCAAGTATGAGATTGTGCAGAGCTGGGGGTGTGGAGAATCATGGGATTTTCTTTTGTAAAACTAGTTTTGCCTCACTGTGAAAGTGTGAATAACGTGAACTTCTTGTTCTTCAGGAACGGAGAGTGGAGAAGAAAGCTAACAAATTAGCCTTCAAACTGGAGAAAAGTAGGCAGGAAAAGGAGCTGTTGAACTTGAAGAAGAATGTTGAGGGCCTAAAGCTATGACAGTGGGACACTAGGGTGAGGCACATTCCCGCTAGGGGCTCCTCAGTAATCACGGTAATGAATGAGGGTCTTCAGAGAGACACGGTTGTTTGATCTGCCATTTTTTACTGGCAGATGTTGAAAAGAAAGTAGTACAGTATTTTTATTTATAGCAGTAAGTTTTCTCTGCTGTCTTGTAAATATTCAATATTTTAAAATTTAATTTTATAAGCTTAGATTTGCTGCTCTGTAATAAGTGATTTCATGAATATGAAATGTTTGGACACATTAAAGGAAAATATCTTCATAACCTAAATGGAATTGGTTTGTCTTTTATTTATATGGTTGTCCCAGTTGTTTTCTGCAGATGTTCTCAAATATTTCTTGGAAGTCTCTCCACTCCTTTTCAGGAATTAAGTGACTTAATTTGCTATATGAAGAAAAGTGGCACTCATTTAAACTCAATTTTGAAATGCTGAGTGCTAAGAAGAGTTTTCCTGAGAAGTTTCCACTTGTAGGAAACTAAATTTCCCCTTGCTCTGCACAGAGCTTTTTCAAAATGATGCTAGAACTGAATATTAAAGTTGTTGGGACTTGGTCACTGGAAGACTTACTTGTGGGATTAAGAAACAGTGAAGGCAGGAAACAGAAGACATAATCAAGAAAATTTCTTTGGCTCAGTTGTTAACTGGCTCAAAATCAGAAATATTCAGTTTAAGCTAGAAAGCTTGTCTTTTAAACATTATTTAATGCTTGGAACCATTCATACATGATTAAAATACATAGTTGAAACCTTTCCCTGTTTTTTGGTGAGTTTTTTTTTTTTTTTAACAGCTTTAAGCTTTTTCAAAGTTCAAACCGTGACACCATCACAATTCTTAATTATTTGGTAAACTGACTTCCTCGCTGTGGACAGGTTCTCAGTGACCCTGGTTCATGTGGCCATGACCAATGTGTGTGTATCTGGACTATTATGAGAAAATCTCTGGGCACTGGTCTGAGTTTGAAACAAAATGACTGATGCAGAACTGTTTGTAGCAGGTGAGCTGCGTTTGATACCTAAACTATTAGACACCATCTTTATCTGTAGTTCAGTTGATGATGCCTTTTTCAGAACTATAGTAGGTGTTCCCTTGCTCTCTTTATTATCAATTCTAAGTCTAATTTTTGGATTTGTTTGAGTGGTGGAAATCAGTAGCTTTAGAGAGTCTACCAATGTTGGCACAAAAAACTTGACTCAAGAGCTTGTGGAAGTGGAATACTGGAAAATAAGTACTGAAATCCTAGGCTGCAGAAACAGAAGGTCGCCTGATGGTTTACACTAGTGTTGGGAATGTGCTAAATTCTGAAAGGTCACTTCCATTTATTTTCACAGCTCTATTGTAAGTTCTCAATCAGTAAGAATCTTGTAGATATAGAATAACTACTTGTTCTGGTGCTATTCAAATTCTAAAGAACTTATAATTTTACTACACCAAATGAAAGGATTTAGATCAGTAAATAATTTATTTTGGAATTAGGAGGCCATGAGTTTGTGAATCTTGTTGAAACATTGTGATTTAGGCTGACTGTCCTCCAAATCTTGTGCTCTTAAATTGTATTTGGAGAACAAATTACATAATAATTTGAATGACTTCACAATATTTTGGAATGTATGAGATTTTAATCATTTATAGTCAATGGCTGGGAACTTCATCTATGGAACTTACGCTTCCTACTAACTGTTGAAAGTCCGTAAGTGCTAAGTTTTTTGCCTTCCAGACCTCATCATCTGAGAGGCAGGGTATGTGCAGAAAATGTAGCTGGTAGCGCCAAGTCACTATGATAAGTGCCACTTGCCATACAGATCCTGGTACTTGCTTTCCCCTGAAGTGCTCTTCCTGCAAATAAGCCTTCCTCAAGGTTGGCGCTCAATTTGTCATGTCCCCTATTAACTCCTGACCATGTAAAAATAACCTACACATCCTTCCTCTGTATTCTTTATTGCTCCTTTCCTGTTTTATGTTTACCACAACTGCTCCTGGTGTGTAAGTGCTATGGAGTTACGCCTTGTTTTTCAGCCGCCTCTTTACAACAAACAATTTTTGGTTACTGTTTTATCCCCAGGATCTGTATCTGCCTGACATTTGGTAAATTAAGTGTATGACTGAAAGGATAGTAGAGTAAGACATTTCAGAAAAGAATTGCTTAAACTTAGTGAAATGGAAGAACTTAATGTTAGTAATGGGAAAGAAAGCCTTAGGCAAGGGACAAAATAATGAAGAATTTAACTACTGTGTTGTAAGGATCTGTTTTGTTCAATAATTATCTGCAATTGGTTTAAAGTAGCCTTTTCAGATAAGTTAGCACTTATTTCACAAGTAAAAGCACTCAGAAGCTGTTACCATTTGTTTTACCTGTTATGTTTTGTCTTCACACCTTCATTGTGATGTCATCAGATCATCTCAGTTGCAAGACATCTCTAACTACCTTAGAACTTCATCAGTACACTAATAATACTTCTTACTGGTATGTTTGATCCAGCCTGTGTGTAAACAAGTTAAAATTAAGTTGGTTAAAGGAGGAGGTGAGAATTCTAATGACCCTCATTTTTATTGTGAAACAGTAATGGAATGTAAAGTAAGGTGAACATATCCACTATTCTAGTTAAAGAAATAGAATGTAGAAATTACCTGGGTTCATCCTCAATTTCGTCTCGGTCTCCTGGTAATGGTCTCCTGGTAATGTGTATGCACTATCCAGGTTTTTCCTATTATCACCTATATGATAAGTCTCACCACAATGTTGCGAGTTCTTAGAGGGCAACACTTGCTTACCATTTGAAGTCTCAGAAAATGAACCAATTAGTCTCTGAGTCTGATGTGAGCTTCTAGACTTTCTAAGAGCCCTGTGTGGAGATAGCAAGTAAGGTGCTGAGTGAGTCCTAGGGGACACAGCTCCACAACTGGGCATATCCTGGATGGCCAGAACAAATATGTCTTGAATTTGGATGCTTGTTTTGTATTTTCTGGCTCTGCTTTCCATGACCTACCTCCATTTCTCAGAATTCAATTCTGTAGAGGGAAATGAGCTGTTCGGTGCATCCTAACAGGAAAGGAAGAGCAGGCACCTCACTGGGATATGGTCAAGCCAAGTGCAGAACATACCTGTGTCCTCAGATTATGGTGGCAGTGCGTATATTGCTGATGACAGTCTTCAGCCTGCCTTTAATCACACACTTCAGTCTGAGTGCTATCTAGTTCTAGTGCCTACTTGTTGACCTGAGACATCTCTCCTTCCCCTCCTGTGTCCAATTGCTTCTTTCCTATTTTGTAGAGCAAATTCTCCAGTAGTGCTTGAGACAGTATACATAGAATATAAGTCTTGTATGTCTAGAAGTAGATTCTACCTTTGTATTTGATAGCTTAACAAGGTATAAATTCATTAATTTTTTTCCCCTAGGGTTTAAAGGATTTTGCCTATTTTCATTTTTACTGTTGGGGAATCAAGCCATTCTGATCACTGATACTGCGTGTGTAACGTTTTTTTCTCAAGTTGTAAGAATCTGTCTCCAGCGTTCTGAAGTTATAATGTTTATTATTATAGATCTACTTGCATTCATTGTGCCTGGATCCTTTTAATCAGACACATATATTTCACTTCCAGGAATTGTTTAAAATTATTTTTGTTTACTTAACATTTCCCCCTTTTCTCTTTGAACTACTATCATTTGGAACAATACCTTTTGACAGGTAATCTGATTTGTGCCCAACATATGGTTGTCTCCTGCTTCTACATCTTCTTCCTCTATCTCCCATTCCTACTACTGAATTTTTCTATCAGGCTTTTAATTTCCAAGAGATTTAGTTGTCCTTTAAATTGCTTTTTTGTTTGAGTTTACATGCTAGAGACCTTCCTCAGATCTTTGGACATACCTGTCCATTATCGAGACTGGAGGAAGAATACAGCAAAAACTGAATGGTTGGTACTTGATGATTTTGAGCTTCAACGGAGGATTGTCTGAGTGAGCTAATTGTCAACATTTTTCCCCAGGGAATGGTCGTATTCCCAGGGAGTTTCCGTTTTGCCTTGTGAGTAAGGGTCTGGCAGCCAAAGTTCTGTGAGTCAAGTAGAGGAAGGTGGGTGTGAGGTATTCTTAGCTTTCCTCTTAAACTATGAGATTCACTTTATGATACACATACATCGCAATTGATCCTTCATTTTCATGGAGATGCTACTTGCAAATCTGCCTACTCACTAAAACCTATTTGTAAGCTCAAACCCAATACTTGAGCCACTTCTATGGTCATTCACGAATAATGCTAAAGTAGCTAGAATGTTGAGTCACCAGCATGCCTATTCCTAACTAAGGGCAAGAAGCTGATGCTCTGTGTTCTTTCAGCTCTTGTACTATAAACAACTGTCCTTTTCATGGTCTGCTTAGTGCCATGTTTTACATGTTTGCACATTTTCTTTGTGATTTCATTGGTTACAAATGGTTCCCAAGCATAGTGTTGAAGTGCTGTCTCGTATTTGTAAGTGCAATCTGTGATGTGCATTATGAAGAAAACACATCTGTTAGAGAAGCTTCATTCAGGCATGAGTTAGGGTGTTGCTGGTCATGAGCTAGATGTTACTGAATCAAACATATGTATTAAATAGTGTGCTTAAACAGAAATACTTAAGACAAGGTTGTGTTTTCATAGGTTGACAAAAATGTGATAGAGGCTCACAGGAGTCTTAACCCTGTGTTTCCCTAGGAGTAAAAGATTATTTGCAAAAGAGCCAAGAGGCAGGGGTGTGGAGTTAGGGAGAGAATGTAAGAATCTTAAGATTTTTTACTGTGATTCTCCATATTTAAGTGGCCTCTTCTTATTTTCTCATCACCCCACCCACCTCCTGTTTCAGTGCTGCTACCAGGTTCCTATGACTTGAGTGGTGCACAGTACAAACATGGATGGTTCTCAGTTCTCCCTATTGTCAATTTGGGAATAAATTTGTATATAGCTTTAAGTTCTCTAACTCAACTACTACATTCGTCAGCTTTCCAGATTCAAATTTATTTTATTGGTAATCTTCCCTCATTGTCCTTGTGGTTCTCTGTGTCTTTATAGCCCTTTACTGTCATTTTACTGGGACTTTGGAGAAAAACAAAATCAAATGGGGAGTTACCTCTGCCTAACTCATCTGTCTTATGTCATAACACATGTTCCTAGATAAGTTACTAGACCAATATGCCACCCCCTTGCCAAGCGGCCATGGAAGACGCCGGTCCTGCTAATGTTTATATGTTTTGGTCCACAAAGAATGTTTTGGTCCACAAAGAACTTAAATAAAGGAGGTTTTGGCTCCTGACAAGTGAATGAGAAAAATGTCTTCCTTTTTCCTTCCTGCCCTGCTTTTGTAAGAAAATGTGGATTGATAGATGTCTTTACAAAACATTCTCACCTTCCAACTCAGAAAGAGTACCTTGTGAAAAGTAGAATATCAATTTCACTTTTGCTACAATTCAGGCTTCTTAAACAATTTTTGAACTGAACTCTTTGTAATGCTTATTTGTCATTGTTAACATGTTAATTATTGATCATTATCCAGATCACTTCCATTCCTGTAACAAATTGTAACAAATTGCCTAAGATTATAGCCTAATGTATAAAAATAATAGGCACTTTTTTTTTTAAGATTGATTTATTTTTGCATACGGAACTGGGATACAGGCCAGAGGTCCAGGGGCGGTGAGAGGATTCACCAGAGACAGAGTGAGGAACAGAACAGGCAGATCGATGACGAAGTACACTGCTGAGGGGAGCAGCGGGCGGGTCAGGAGAGGTCTGCCACACCATGTGGGTCACCTCTGGGGCGGGTATCAAACTCATGCTGAAGTGGCTTTAGCTTCTCAGTGCTTTGCTTTAACCTGTTGCACCACTAGGGAGGCCCATAATAGGCACTTTTAACAGTCTGAGTTAGACTCCAGTTAGGGTAAAGGTAGAATCTGTTCTATCAAATGGATTCTTTTTTGTCATTTTTTTCCTTATGATTTTTAAAATAGTGATGAATAATTGTAGAAAATTTCAATATTTAGGACACTCAAGAAATAACATTTAAGGTTACCACTCAGATGTAGTTATATGTGTATAATTGATGTCTTCAGGATGTTCAGGATTGAATCATTGTATCTGTCATCATTTTATATTCATTTAACTCATTGAAGTTCACTAATTTAAACCAAAGGCCACTGACCCTCTAGGGACTTCCATTAGCTTTGCAGTTTAGTACTGACAGATCTACATTATAGGGAGGGCTGAAGAAATACTTTGGAAACAGAGGCTCAGTTTCAACTCAATGTTGCCACTTAATGCCTGTGGTCTTCAAGAACTTGAGGTTCCATTTTCTAATCTGTTAAAAAAAAAAAAAAAAAGCACTGTCTCTGGGTTGAATGAGATTACAGAGGAAGTGTTTTGGGGACAGGAAAGCAACATACAGATATTTATAAAAATTGCCCTTTATTAGTGTTTGTTAAAGTTTTATCATTAGGATGAACAACTTATTAACAGATAAGTGTGGAGGAATGGGATAGCTTTGCTGAAAAAGAAAATGAAGGTTCAGTTTTACAATTAGAAGGAGAATTAAAACAGAGAGGAAGAGTGGTGTTTCTCTCTGCTGTAATGGATGACCTGTGTTACAACTCCAATACCGTTGGCAGATGTGAGAAGAAATCATTGAAATCAACATTTTCTGTAATGAGCGACCATCTGATTTCTGTTACTCAGGCCTTCCCTTTTCAAACTATCTTCCCTTGGTTTCCGTGACCTTGTTCTCTCCTGCTTCTCCTTCTGGCTTATCATCATCTTCTTCTTGGCCCTTAAATGTGAGTTCTCCAGGGATCATCTCTGTACTTCTCTTTCCATGACCTTTTCCCTGGCAATATCACGCCTTTACATCACTCTCCAAACAAAGTCTACATCTGTGTTTCTATCCTTGACCTCCCTCATTTCCAGCCTGCTGGCTGGAGTACTCGCTTTCAAGCTCAGTGTTTCCAAATCTGAGGTCATTTTTCTTACTAAGATGGCTCTTTTCAAGTCATCTGTTTCTACTGCCCTACCATTTTCTCAGTCCCTTAGCATTCTCTTCTCATGGCCACCTCCCAGCTCCCCACAAATCGACTCAAGGGGGTTCTCTGACCACAGGGTCTCCCATTTTCCTTTTCTAGCTTAGATTTACACCTTCAGCCTTTACCATCCATTTTCTCTCCTCACCTCTGTACCATTCTACACCTTTGTTCCTGTTCTTCCCACATGGTCCCTAATTACTCCCCTTGTTTGTAGAATAAAGCATAGACTGTCTAATATAAAATCTTCCCTATAATCAAACTGCTTTTTAAATCTACTCAACTCCAGATGAATATGAAATGAAACTTTTCTCAGCATTCCATAGTGTTTTGCTTCTCTCATGATGCTTTTTTAACCTCATTTAAAGTAATTTATGTGCATACTTCATCTCCTTTCTATGTTGGACCCATGTATGGTTTCTCTTAATATTCCCAGAGTTACATAGAGCAGATATGCAGTCACTTATTGAGTGAATGATTGGTCCTATGATAGAAACTCAAGCTTAGTTGGACCATGCAGTCAGTGAGCACCTGCCTAGGGTCACAGACTTTGAGGCATTGCAGGATCTCAGCCTTTTTTTCTTTCTTCTAATATTTTAGTTTGTCACTTCAATCTTAAGATACCATCTTAGTTGAATAGGAACAAAAATGCTAGAGACTAGTGGGCATCCTCGAGTTTAGCCTTTCACTCATACAGTAATGCATACACATGCCAGCAGCATTATTCACTAGCCCCAGTAAGAGGGCTGACCCAGAACACCACCCTGGGGCAACGGACCACATCTTCATACACTGTTGTATTGTAATGGCACCATCTTTCCTGCTCTGGATTAAAGTCTTCAGTTCTACTCGATCCATTTCACCAGTCTTGTACTTTCTACCCAGAAGTTTCTCCAGAAAATATTTACTAGGCATGAGAAGGCCATTCTCAGGAAAATTTACCTTCATTTAGATGATTTGGCTGCTCTTTTCATTTGGTCTATGATACATTAGTGCTCTGCATTTAGCATTTACATGGACCTTATGGTCCAGTAAGAGCCCTAAAGCTGTTACTGTTGGGATATTCGTGACCTTATACAGAATGATTAACTCTGTACTTATGTCCAATGCAAAACCACCTGCCACAGAGTTTAAGAATATCTTAAATAATTATACCCTGGTGGTGTGAAGGGTATGAAATTTACCTATTGAGAAGTCAAGTTTGCAAGCAGAGGAAAACACAGGTGAGCATACAAAGGGTCTTCCTAAGAGAAGTAGTTGGGAAGGGAAAAGAGTGAGGATATCAAGTCATTGAGGTCTCCTGCAGTTAGTCATTTCTTCTCAGGCAGGCAATTCCATGAAACTAACATAATGTGCTCTTGGATCTTATACAGATGGCAATCAGGAATTATTTCCCTGTGAAGTCTGTGGAAGACGCTTTGCAGCAGATGTTCTGGTAAACATAAAGACATTTTGTAGATGTGTTTCATTGGAGTTAAATGAACTGTCAAGTTAGTGAGGAGGCCACAGTGGCAAAGATTAAAGGCAGATGTGGAGGGTAAGCTAGAGAAGAGAAGTCCATAACCTGTGGCTGGTGGGCCTGGAGGACGCTGAGGCAGGTCAAAGCTGTGCCATGCAAAAGAGCTTGCTAGATTCAGCCCTCTCACTACAAGGCTGCCAGATAAAAGTGTCTTGGCAAGGCTGATATCTCTTGAGAGGTTTTGGCTTTTTTGTCTTTTCTATAAGCATCAAAAATTCAAATTTTAAGGCTAAAGCACCAGGGAAATTAGCTAGTTGAGAGGAATGAACATTGAATTTGGAGCATCTGGAAGCTTGGCTTTTAGCTACATATTTGTCACTAATTCTGACAGTTCCCTTAACCTCCTTCTGTTTCCTGCTCTGCTACGTTTAAAGACGGAACCCTCTGATTTCAGGGGTTTTATGTAATTTGAACAAAATGGATACAAGACCTGTTCTAAGGTCTAATTGTTCACCAGATTCAAGCTAATTGCATGTCAAGTCCTCTAATGCCTATAAAGTTGGGTAAAACTTTATTTCAAAATTAGAGAATCACTTATTAAGTCCCAATATTGTAAAGGGATTTCCGAGAATGATGATAGTTCAAAAATTGAGATGATAATCCAGTTGTTAACTGGGAGATTTCTGATCACCCAAAAAGAATGGGACGTACCATTTGAAGATGGACCACGTAATATCAAGCTTGCCTTGAATCCTCTTGATTTATATTCCTTACATTGATCAGTAGACCACAGCGAACATTTAATCAAGTGATCTGATTTATCTCTCCTTTTATTTAAATGGGTGTGCTTGTAACCAGGTGCAGTGATTTTCATAGATGTATTTTGCAGGGTCTGGTCAAAGAAATTTAATGATTATTATTATGTTACATATCCAGCAAGGAAGAGGATTTAGAGTAGAAGGCAAAGAGCTTGGTATAGGGGGCTTCTGTAGTGGCTCAAGGGGCTAAGCCTCAGTACTATGGAGCTGTCAGCAGCCACTGCAGCACAAGTTCAATCCCTGGCCAGGGAGGTGGCCCACATGGCACAGCAGACCTCGCCTGCTGCTCCCCTCAGCAGTGTGTTTCAGTCCATCTGCCTGTTCTGCTCCCTACTCTGTCTCTGGTGAATCCTCTCATCCCCTAGGGCTCTGGCCTGTACCCCAGATCTTGTATGCATAAATAAATAAATCATAAAAAAAACCCACGGGTATAACCCATGGTGGTACAGTAGCAGACTTCCTCATGATGGCAGAAGTGATGCTTTTATGTGGGTGCCCTGGTTTTTGTTCTACAAGGCTGAGTACTTATGGCACACTGGCTGGAGTGATGAGACCTATGCCTGCCATCATCTTATACATATTATAGTAGTTTTAAATGTAATATTGTAAGCTTAGATTTGCTCTGAAATAAATGACTTCATGAGTGTGAAATGCTTATATTAATTCACAGGAAATATCTTCTTTAACTCAAATGGAATTGGTTTGTCTTCATTTATTTGTCTGGTTGCTCCAGTTGTTTCCTGCAGATGTTCTCAAATATTTCTTTGAAATTCCTCCATTCTTTTTCAGTCAGGGAATTTTCAGTTAAGTTACTGTATGTAGAAAAGTGACACAGGTAACCTGTTTTGAATTGTGAATGCTAAGAAGAGTTCTCCTGAGAAGCTTCCACTGGTAGGAAGCAGGTTTCTTGGTGTGTACGGAGTTATTTCACTGTGATGCCAACTCTGAATCCTAGTTGGGACTAGATTTCCTGTTACATTATGAGATGCCTTGCTTTGAGGATTCAAGAACAATGAAGGTGGGAAACAGAAAAGAAATAAGAAAACTTCACCACGTACCTAACTCAGTACCAGAAGTGTGTACTTTAATTTACACTAGAAGGTTAGTCTTTTCAGCATTGCTTAATGCTTCAAACCATCCATACAGTCCATGTGGTAGAATTAAATATGCAAAATCAAATTTGAAGTCTCTTTTGCTATAAAGGCCTTCTATGGTTCTTGCCCAAACACAGCATCTTGTTATGTGTAACTTGGGTGAAAAGAGCCAGGTGGGTGTGCTCTGCTGTGATTTGAGAGTGAACTTGGAGAATGAACTTGGCTCTGAAGGGGCAACGCATCCACCCTAGTGGGAACCCGCTGAGTGCACTGAGGCATGACAGTTTGGGGCTGGTAAATTAAAAAAATTTTCTAATCCCCATTCCTTCTTTTCTAGGAAAGGCATGGACCAATATGTAGGAAACTCTTCAACAAAAAGCGTAAACCTTTCAATTCCTTAAAACAAAGATTACAGGGCACTGACATTCCCACTGTGAGGAAGGCCCCCCAACCCAAGGTACTGTCCACACCCCCTCTTGTTCCTGACTCCATGCTTAAGTACATTAAATCCCCTTTCTGGCTCTCTGTCTCGGTTTTCCTTACAGTGTAGTGTAATGTCATGTAAGTATAATCCACCTTTACTATTTTCTTTTTAATCATGCTCACTTAGATTTCCAAATGTATTTCAGATACTTTCCAGATGTGGGGGAAAAGAATCTCATTTATATTTTCATTAGAGTAGCATTAAGCCTAGCAATTAACTTCGAAGAAAGTTACTTTTAATCTCACATTTACATCTTCCCTTTAAGTTTTCTAGTTTGTTTTCTCATAGTTATTTGGTGCCCCACCCCCCAATCCCCAACTACTGCCACTTGCCAATTTACTTACTTTATGTTCCGAACCTCTTTTAGTATCTTTGAAAAACAAATTTTCCTTTTTCTCTACATTTCAGTCCTGTTTCCTATAAATGCAAATCCCAGCTTAAGGGGGGGGGGGGGATGAAGAGTTACATAAGACAGGGTCGTACATGTTGGTTTTATTTATTTACTTTTTCATAGGCTCAACCGGCGAGGAAATCTAATTGGCGACAACAGCACGAAGACTTCATAACCGCCATTCGAGCAGCAAAGCAGTGCACGCTGGCCCTGAGGGAGGGCCGGCCGCTGCCCCCGCCGCCCCCTCCGTCTGTCAACCCAGGTGCGTGGCTGCTCGTCTGCTTTTGCAGTTCACTCTTCACCCATTGAGGTTGTGCTTATTTGGGGCCAAACCATCATCCTGTCTCTCCTTCTACCTACTCCAAAATTGGCGATCACAATTAAACCATAGAAATTAGACTATAGGAAAGTCATATAAACTTTAGCTTCTCCTGTTTTTTTTTTTTTTCAATTCTACATAAAGTCCCTTTATTTCCTTCTAATTCCCAAGAGCGTTGGCTGTTCCCACCAGAGGCAACGTGCGGAGCCAGGGCCTGCCCACTGCAGGGCGCCACCTGCACCCTGAGGCCTGGGCTGTGCAGAGGGTGAGCCGAGCTGTGCCAGCTCCGGAGACCTGGATGCTCACAGCTTTCTCTGAAAGCTTTCTTCAGTAAAATTCCCATAAAATAAAGCCCAACCAGGCTAAGTTGCACACTTCAGTGGCTCACAGCTTTCGGATCCTCAACTTTTTTTTTTTTTTTTTAAGATTTATTTATTTATTGATACAGAACTGGGGTACAGGCCAGAGACGCAGAGGGTGAGAGGATTCACCAGAGACAGAGTGGGGAGCAGAACAGGCAGATCGACGAAGTACACTGCTGAGGGGAGCAGCGGGCGGGTCAGGAGAGGTCTGCCACGCCATGTGGTCACCTCCGGGGCAGGTGGGAATCGAACTCATGCAGAAGTGGTTTAAGCTTCTCAGTGCAGTGCTTTAACCCGCTGCGCCACCAGGGAGGGCCCAGGATCCTCAACTTTTATTTTGAAAATTTTTAAACACCTAGTAAAGAATTAGGAATATACAATGATCACCCCTAAGTGTTCCGCTGGAAGTTGACCATTGTCATAGTTTTGTTCTTTCTCTCTCTCTGTCTTTTTTTTTCCTTTGGCAATACTACTTAAAAGTAAGTTTCAAACAGTACCCCTCACACCTTAACTATTTCAACATACATTTCCTAAACATCAGTAGAATATGCTGCATAACCACAGTACTGTATACACTCATTTCCTGATTATCTTAAAAATGTCTTTTTTTGTTTTAATTGTATATATGTATTAGGGTAGCATAGGTTTACAATACTGTGTAAGATTTAGGGATATGGGGTCTTACATTTTCAGATCTATATTACCATCCCCCACCAAGTCCCCAAAAACCCCCACATGTGGGCCACTGGGATCTGCTCCCTCGTTGCTTCCAACCCTTCTTGCACTCCCTCTAGTAGCCTCAATACTGCAGTGAAATGCTGGGGTTTGTTTTGTCTGTCCCTTTCTTGTGTTTCTTTATATTCCACATGTGAATGAAATTATGATATCTTTCTTCCCCTGACTTGCTTTATTTAGCCTAATCCCTTCCAGATCCATCCATGTTACTCTTCATTTTTTTTATCACTGAATAGTATGCCACTGTGTGTATATATATACATATATATATATATATGTATATATACACACACACACACACACATACACACACACACTCCACATCTTCTTTATCTACTCATCTATCATTGGACACTTAGGTTTGTTTCCTTGACTTGGCTATTGTAAATAGTGCTGCAATAAGCACAAATATCCCTTCAGGTTAGTAGCTTAGTGTTCTTTGGGTAGATACCTTGGAGTGGAATTGTTTTATCATATGGTAGATCTATTTTTAGTATTTGAGAAACTGCCGTACTGTTTTCCATAATATTTGGGCCATCAATAGTATTGCAGGGGTTCTACTTTCTTCACAGTCTCACCATCGCTTATGCTTCTGGTCTTTTTGACATGTGCTAGTCTCTCAGATGAGGCTGTAACTCATTGTGGTTTTGATTTGCATTTCCTTGGCAAATGATAAAGAGCATTATTTTCATGCGCTTGTTAGCTATCTGTATTTCATCTTTGAAGAGGTGTGTATTTAGCACTTCTGTCCATTTTTGCTTAGGTTATTTGTTTTCTTGTTAAGTTGTATGAGGTCTTTGTAGATATTGGATATTAGCTCCTTATTCAGATGAATTGTGAAGTATTTTTCCCCAATTCAATGGATAGCTTCTCATTTTTTTTTAAAATTTATTTACTTATGCTTACAAAACTGGGGTACAGGCCAGAGGTGTGGTAGGTGAGAGGATTCATCAGAGACAGAGTAGAGAGCATAACAGGCAGATTGACAAAGTACATTGCTGAGAGGAGCAGCAGGTGGGTCAGGAGAGGTCTGCCATGCCATATAGGTCATCTCCCTGGCTGGGATCAAACTTATAATTTTTTATTGTAGTTCAGACCCAAAAACATCTTTGAAGCCAATGTCTTAAAACGTTATAACTATATTTCATGGTATTTATTTTATGATTTCAGATCTTACACCCAAATCTTTAATCCATGTTGAGATCATTTTAGTGTATGGCATTATACAAATACTCTAGTGGACTGTCTTTTTTTTTTCTTTTCTTTTTTTTACCATTTTGCTACTGTTCTTTAATTCACAAAAGTTTTTAGTTTGTATTTTTTTTTCCCTAGGGAAAAATTAGCTGTCTTTATTGAGTATCTATCTTATGCTAGGTACTTTGCATGTTTTCCTTCACTTGCTGCTTAAAGTAATTTTATGTGATTGTTATTATCTCCATTCTTAAAGAGGAAACATTTTATTTTTAATTAATGATGATCATTGTTTTATATGCTTGTTTGATTTTTCACAATATAGAATTTCTCCTCTTCATTGTGTGTACCATGATTTCTCCTTCACCAAACAGTTTTTACATCTTATACAGCCAGACTTATCTAATTTTTCTTTGTTGGCTAGATTTTTATGTCAAATTTTAAAATTATTGTAAAACCCAATGTCATGAAGCCTTTACCCTAAGTTTTCTCTCAAGAATTTTATTTCATATTTAGGCTTTTGATCCAGCTGAGTAATTTTCCAGTGTGGTTTTGGGGGGGGGGGTGTTTTTCCTGTTTGGTCCTTATATCTCCCTTCCTTGAGGGAGGCCCAAGGATTAAATTTTAAAAAGGGTGAAATCACAAAAAAATTGATCACTGACCTAACAAGTACCACAGCTATAAAATTCTAGAAAAAATAAAAATCTTTTATGCTAATTTACATGGAAAACCCTAAAAATTCCACAGAGAAACTAATCAAAACTATCAACCAGGTTAGTAAGGTAGCAGGATATAAAATTAACACAAAAAAGTCAGAGACCTTCCTATACACAAACAACAAATCAGAAGAAGCAGAAATTTAAAAAAAAATCCTCTTTTCAATTAAAACAAAAAGAATCAAATACCTGGGAATAAACCTAACAAAAGTGGTAAAAGACCTGTACAAAGAAAACTACAAAACACTGTTTAAAGAAATACAGGAAGAAGAATGCATGGGATTATGGTGATGGCACAAAGGTGACTTGGTGATGGGAAACCCGTGGGGATTACAATTGAGATGGAAAAAAAAATGTACAAAGTGATGTAAAAATAAACTTTTGTAAAATAAAAAAGAAAAGAAAAAGAAATACAGGAAGACACCATGAAATGGACACCATGAAGACACCTGCTCATAGATTGGGAGAATTAACATCATCAAAATGGCCATCCTACTAAAAGCGATATACAGATTTACTGCCATCCCAGTAAAAGTCTCAATGACATTCTTCAAAGAAATAGAAAAAACAATGATGAGAGTCATATGGACCCACAAATGACCTCAAATAGCCAAACTCTTATAACTAAGAAGAAAGAGAATGGAGCATTTCAATCCCAAACTTCAAGTTATATTACAAAGCCATAATAATCAAAACTGCATGGTACTGGAACAAGAACAGACATAAAGACTAGTGGATTTGGATAGAAACCCAGATATAAACTCACAGGTTTATGGGCAGCTAATCTTTGACAAAGGAGCAAAGAAAATACAATGGAACAAAGAAAGTTTGTTCAGCAAATGGTGCTAGAAAAACTAGGAAGCTACATGTAAATAATGAAACTAGATCACTACCTCATACACAAAAATCAACTCTAAGTGGATTAAAGACCCAGACATAAGAATGGAAACCATAAAATACCTGGAAGCAAAGAAGGGTAAAACACTACATGACATACACTTCAGTAACATCTTTGAAGATACAGCGCACAATGCATTGATAGTGAAGGAAAGGATAATAGATGGGACTACATTAAGTTAAAGAGCTTCTGTACAGCAAAAGAGACATTACAAAAAACAAACAGACATCCCACTGACTGGGAAAAATTTTTCTCACACAAAACTAGTGATAAAGGATTGATTACAAAGATATACAAAAAACTGATAAAACTCAGCAAAAATAAACAACCCCTTCAAAAAATGGGCAGAAAAGCTAAAAAGACATTTCTCCAAGGAGGAAATACAGATGACCATCAAGCATATGAAAAAATGTTCAACATCACTTGTAATAAGAGAGATGCAAATTAAAACCACAATGAGAAACCAACTGACACCAGTGAGAATGGTACATCTCAAAGCAACTAGCAACAACAAATGTTGGCGAGGATGTGGAAAAAAAGGAACTACTGGTGGGAATGCAAACTAGTACAAACACTATGGGAAATCTGTTTGGAGATTCTTCAAACTGGTAAACATGGAGCTTTCATATGACCCAGCAATCCCACTCCTAGGTATCTACCCAAAAGATACAAAGACACTGATTCAAAAAGATACCTGGATTCCCATGTTTATTGTTGCTTTATTTACAATCGGAAAGACATGGAAACAGCCCAGATGCCCAAAAGTGGATGACTGGATTAAAAAGATGTGGTACATGTACACAATGGAATGTTACTCAGCAACCAAAAAAAGAAACACATGCCTTTTGCAACAACATGGATGTAGCTGGAAAAGATCATGCTTAGTGAAATAAGCCAGAAAGAAAAGGAAAAAATACCAGATGGCTTCAATCATTGCAGGAGGATAAACAGACCAGGTGAGAAAATAATAATAATAATAATGAACAGCTATATACCAGAGACATTTTATGGGGGTGGAGTGGAAAATGGGATAAAAAATAA